GGGTTTCTCAACCTTTACACTACTGATACTTTAGACCAGATAATTCTGTGGGAAGGAGGCTTTCCTGTACATTGTAGAATATTTAGTAACATATTCCTCGTCTCTACCTATTAGATGCTAGTAGTACTCCTCCCCCCAGTAGTAAAAAACAAAAGGTCTCCACATTTTACCAAATGTACCCTAGAGAGGCAAAAATCACCTCTGTCCTTCCTTTGAGAATCACCCCTCCATTAAGAATTCTATTTATTTTTTTAATGTTTATTTATTTTGAGAGAGCAAGCAGGGGAGGGGCAGAGAGAGGGAGACACAGAATCCAAAGCAGGTTCCAGGCTCTGAGCTGTCAGCACAAAGCCCGACACAGGCTCAAACCCACAAACCACAAGACCATTACCTGAGCCGAAGTCAGACGCTTGACCAACTAAGCCACCAGGTGCACCAAGAATTCCATTTAAAAGAAGGCAAGCAGGGAGATAAGATGGAACATAAATAAGCAGGAAAACAGAAACAGTTACACAATAGACTTAGACACATATCATTAATTACTCTAAAGTAGATAGATTAATGCTTCAAATAAGAAACATAAAAAAATATCACCCAACTATATATCTTTTTATATGACTTTTTAAAACATAAGGACATGAAGACTAAAAAAAAACCCAAAAATATAATTAAGCATTAATCTAAAGATAGATGACAGAATTACATTAATATCAGATAAAGTAGAATTTAAGGTCAAAAAATAATAGCAATCAACAGAAACAGTACAGTAGATGAAGTAAGACATTTGTAATGATAAAAGATTAAATACACCAGAAAGTTATGACAATTTTATACACAAATAAAGTAGAAGGGGTCAGAACTACAGGGTAAATAGATAGATTCAGAATCACAGGGGTATAATTTAACCACTATTCTTGGTAACCAGTAGAAACAACACAAAAAAGTAATCAGTAAGAATACAGACAACTTAATCAATATAATTAACCCACCTGACCTAACATATATAGAAAACTATTCCCAGAACTATAGAATACACATTCCTTATAAACATACATGTCACATTTATAAGTACTGACTACATGCTGGGTATTTTTTAAAAATCTAAAAAAAAATTAAAAAACAAAATTATACAGACTATTTTTCTGGCCACAGTGCAATTAAACTAAAACTCAACAAAAAAAGTAACTGAAAAGCTATATATGCCTAGAAAGAATACATTTCTAAACAACATGAATTAAAGAGGTCACAACAGAAATCAGAAAATATCTAGAAGTAAATGAAAACTGGTAAGACATCTTAAAACTTTTGTAATAAAGACTTCTGCTTCTGGGATGATGGAGCAGATGTATATTTCCCTATATAATCCCACTAATACAAATAAATGTCCTGAACGGTATACATATATAAAACAACTCTCAAAAATGGAGACCAGCAGCCAAACCGGCTAAAAACCTCAGAACATCAAAATTGACACACAGGTGGGTTCCCAGGGATTCCTTTTCATATATGATCTCCAACCTGGAGCTAAACAAGGTGGCAATGGTTTCAGACTTGGGGAAGGGGCAAAAAAAAAAAAAAAAAAAAAGGCCTTAACAAAAGCCTGCTCTCTTAGCCAAAGAAAGAAGAAAGGGGAAACCTAGCAAGACAAAAATGTTTTAGACAATAAAATCTACTCCAGGAAAATACTACAGAAAAAACTGTGACTCCACCACCAACCGTGCCAGCAAAGGCCAGATTGTTAGGAAGTACTCTAATATCCTGCCAGCTTGCATGGTATATAAGGTCAACAAGGAAGTTGGGACTTTTATCCCTGCTGAGTGGTAATAAAGTCCCATGCTTCTGTAATGTCAGTGGAGACTACGCAGGAAACCTGAACTTTCCACCCTACCAACAGTAAGGAAGAGCACCTACCTCACGCTGTTGAAAAGCCATCAGATAAGCGCTAGTCGAGAGTTAGGTCTGGCACTACCACTCAGTGGTAACAAGGCTACTCTTTCTAGGGTGACAGTGGGGACCACCTGAGGAGCCAGAACTCCATGGCACCCAGCAATAATGATGATCGCCCACAACTCAGGTGACAACAGAAGCCAACAGGGGAACCTAGACTTCTACCCCTTATCTGGCAATAATGGGGCATTTCCCCCCTTTCCTGTGCCAGAGAAGTGTCAGGAAAAGCCAGAAATAGTAAACAGTCTCATAACATAATACCCTACATGTCCAGGTTTCAAAAGAAAATCACTAGTCACACCAAGAATGAGAAAGGTCTCAAACTGAAAGTAAAAGGACAAGTGATGGATGCCAACACTAAGAGAAAAAATATGTTAAAGTTATCTGGCAAAGATTTTAAATAAGCCATGCTAAAAATATTTCAATGAATAATTACAAACAAGCCTGAAATAAATTTAGAAAAAAAGACACAGCAAAGAAATACAAGTCTCAGCAAAGAATAGAAGATATAAAGAAGAACCAAGTGAAATTATAGAACTAAAAAATACAATGACCAAAATAAAAATCTAAGGATGAGCTCAAAGGCAGAAATAGAAAAGAGGGGTGCCTGGGTGGCTCAGTTGGTTAAGCATCCAACTTCAGCTCAGGTCGTGATACACAGTTCATGAGTTCAAGCCCCATGTCCGGTTCTGTGCTGACAGCTCAGAGCCCGGAGCCCTGCTTTGGATTCTGTGTCTCCCTCTCGCTCTCTGCCCCTCCCCTGCTAATGCTCTGTCTCTCTCTCTCTCAAAAATAAATATTTAAATTTTTTTTGATTAAAAAAAAGAAATAGAGAAGAAAAAGAATGAATTAGAAGACAAAGCAACAGAAATTACTTAACCTGAATAGAAAATAGATGTAAAAAGTAACAGATGTTCAGGAACTTGTGGGACTGAAATAAAACATCCACCATTTGTGTCATTGGAGCATGATTCCATTTATAGTAATATCCAAAATAGGTAAATCGAGAGAGATAGAAAACATATTGATGGCTGCCAGGGACTGAGGGGAGGGAGAAAAAGTGACTGTTCAATGGATACGGAGTTATCTTAGAAGGTGATAAAATGTTTGGGAACCAGATGTAGGTGATAGATGTACAACACTATGAATGGACAAAATACCACCGAATTCTCTACTTTAAAACATTTAATTTTTTGTTATATGAATTTTGGCACAACATAAAAAAAGAAACCGCAAGCTAGGAACTGAAAGGCACATCAATTTAAAAAAAGATGTATACAGGGGCGCCTGGGTGGCGCAGTCGGTTAAGCGTCCGACTTCAGCCAGGTCACGATCTCGCGGTCCGTGAGTTCGAGCCCCGCGTCGGGCTCTGGGCTGATGGCTCAGAGCCTGGAGCCTGCTTCCCATTCTGTGTCTCCCTCTCTCTCTGCCCCTTCCCCGTTCATGCTCTGTCTCTCTCTGTCCCCAAAATAAATAAACGTTGAAAAAAAAAATTTTTTTTTAATAAATAAATAAAAAAAGATGTATACAAAAATAATACACCACTCTACTTGATTCTAAAATCTCTGTGCCGTCCTTTTTTTTTCTTATTACTTTTTAATGTTTATTTATTTTTGAGAGAGAGACAGAGGATCCAAAGCAGGCTCTGCACTATCAACACAAAGCCCAATGTGGGGCTTGAACTCACTAACCATGAGATCATGACCGGAGCCATAAGTCAGACATTTAACCAACTGAGCCACTGAGGCACCCCTGTACCTTCCTTTGGAAATGCGATCAAGACCAGGATGTCCATCATCATCAATTTTATTCAACAATGAAAATAACCAACAAAAAATGTGGAACAAGACAAAGATATAAAAGGTTAAAAAACTGGGAAGGAAAAATAAAACTTTCTTTACATACAGATTGTTCTAACTGTGTATGTAGAAAATCCAAAAGAATTTATAGAGAAATCATCAGAAGAACCTGGTGAAGACTGCTAGGTGGATGAATATAAAAATTAGCTGCACTCTACGTGTCAGCAATATTTTTAAAGACATTTTAAAAGCACCAAAGAATATCAAATACCTAGGCAAAAAGATGTGCAAACCATTACACAGATACCCATTAGAGAAACTAAAAAAGACCTATATACATAGAACTATGTGCTATATACTGGAAAACAACATTCTAAAGATATAAATTCTCCCCAGATACATGGATGTAATACCAATCAATATCCTAATAAGCAGGGGTGCATGCATGTGTGTTACGTGTGTGTGTGTGTGTGTGTGTGTGTGTGTGTCTGTGTGTGTAAAATTTAGCATACTGATTCAGAAATTTACATGGAAATACAAAAGGCCAGAAATCTTGTAAAGAACAGCAGAAACTATTTTAGAAAACAAGATAGGAGGACTGGATATCAAGACGTTACAAATCTACAGTTATTAAGACACATCGACCCATGTAAGACATTTAAGAACAAAGGTGGTTTTGCTAATCAGTGAGGAAACAGAAGTCTGCAATAAAAAGGTGCTGGGACAACCAGATCACTTTATGGACCTGGGCCCAACTTTGCATTATGCACTAAAATTAACTGTAGTTGTACTGAAGCTCTAAATGTGAAAAAGCAAAAAAAAACCAAAAACAAAACAAAAAAAACAAAAAAAAACAAAGTTACTGGAATATAGGAGAGTGCTTTCAATAACACATGGCAGGAAAAAAAAACATACTAAAAAAGCTAAAAAGCAATTTCCTGAAAAAATAAGATTGAGCAACTTTTCTCTGTTGATGAGCCATTTGGATGTCCTCTTTTATGAAAAGTTTATTTGAACCTGTTACCCAATTATTTCTCTTGAATTATCTTTTTACATAGTAATGTGTAGGATTTCTTTTTAAAATTAAAATCACAATGAGAAAACCAAAACGATTGACCATAACAAGTCTAAAGAGGAGGAGAAGCAACAAGTTGTGGTGTAAACTGGTATATCCATGTTAGAAAAAAATGAGCACTACTCAAGTTAAAGATGTATATATACTATGACTCAATAATACTTCTACTTGAAACCTACCCTGCCAAAATCAAACCAAGAGATTTCTGTTGTAAAGTTACTGCTCGTAACAATACTATTCCCAGATGAAACCTAGAAAACAAACCAAATGTCCATTAACAGCTGAAGACACATATTGTGACATAATGAAACTAGCACTTTACGACAATGAAAATAACCTACAGAAACACTCTACACAGGTGAACTTCAAAAATACTGTGCGAAAGACAAACAAAAAAGCATACTATTCTAAACATAAAGTTCAGAAAAAATTAAAAACGGGCAAAACTGTAGTATTTAGAAGATACATGCTTAGGTGTGTCTAGGTTATAAAACTATAAAAAGAAGTGATTAACGTAAAAGTCAGGACAGTGTTACCAGAGAAAAGGCCATCAGTGTTCTACATTTTGATCTTTGTTGTGGTTAAATTGGGGGTTTGCTTTGTAAATCACTCAAAGGATAGTTTTTGTGCACTTTTCTGCTTTTTATAATTCACAATTTTTTAAAACATTCAGAATTTCAAATTCTAAAATTCAAAGTTTTAAACGTTCACTCAAAGATCTGGCTCATATCTCAGGCTTTGTCTCTTCCTTCACTCTGAGGGAGATGGCAGTGTTCACCTCTAGCGCCTGATCCAGTGGGAATGCCACATGTACCTCCTTGTATGTGGCCCAGCAGTCTTTCCCTCTGGCTCCCTTCCAATTTCCTCTCCCATCCTGTCCTAATAGAAGTGCGAACAGTCCTTTCCAGTAATCAGAGTAGCCTTCTAAAGTTCCTTTGTAGGTAGGGGCTCCAGTCACCTGCTGCTGAGACTAATGAAGATGTGGTTGGCTCTTTAAAAAAAAAAAAAAAAATCTGACTCAATATCATCAAGGATCCTGGTCTTTTTCATTGAAACTGCATACAGAAAATCTCATTGAAGGGGGAGATCCCACACACCACCACTCATTGCTGTTTACAACCCAAACAGAAAGAAGCTTATTTTGCTACCACTACTCCAACAGGTGGAAACAAGATTTACTCCTTGCTCATCAACAAACCAACAAGAACTACCACAACTCCCCCAATGAAAAGCTACCAAAGCCCCAAACTCTCACTCCTCTCCTTTCTTTCCAAACTACCCCTCCCAAGTCCCTCCTCTTCTATATAAAAGAATGCTCCTTTCCTTTGTTCTCTGGACTTGCTTATAGTTTGCCATAGTTTGTATGTCCCAAAGTGCATTTCCTCCGCTATCCTGAATAAACTCATTTTGCTAGTAAAACTGGCTATTTTATGTTTAAAGTTGACACCATACTTCTGCCAACATAACCTGTTGGCTTAATTCTCTTCATGGTTGTGAAGCTACCACATTTTCAGACATCACATGGATACACAATAACATTCACAAAACAATTTCATCAACCAATTCTCTTTTGTTTAGCCTTTTTATTTTTAAAGTAAAATTTACACATAATAAAATGCATAAGTATACAATTCCATGAGCTCACAAAGAAAGAATCCCAGAGTATTCTATTGTTTAAATATATTCTGTTGGGGCACCTGGGTGACTCAGTTAAGCATCCAACTTCGGCTCAGGTCATGATCTCACAGTTCATGAGTTCAAGACCCGTGTCGGGCTCTGTGCTGACAGCTCAGGGCCTGAAGCCTGCTTCGGATTCTGTGACTCCCTGTCTCTCAAAAATAAACATTAAAAAAATTTTTGTTAATAAAAAAAGAATGACTAAAATAAAAAACATAAGACACAACAAGTGTCGGTGAGGATGTGGTGAAAAAGGAATCTTCATGTACTGTTGACGGGAATGCAAACTGGTGCAGCCACTATGGAAAACAGTATGGAGGTTAGTCAAAACTTTAAAAATAGAACTACCATATGATCTATAATTGCACTTCTGGGTATTTACCCAAAGAATATGAAAACACTAAAAGGATATATGCACCCCTATGCTTATTGAAGCATTATTTACAATAGCTAAATTATGGAGGCAGCCCAGTGCCCATCGACAGATGAACAGATAAGATGTGGTGTGTATGTATGTACATATATATGTATATATATGTACATATATAATGGAATATTATTCAGCCATAAGAAAGAATGAAATCTTGCCATTTGCAACAACATGGATGGATTTAGAGGGTATAAGCTAAGTAAAATAAGTCAGTGAAAGACAAATACCATATAATTTCTCTCATATGTGGAATTTAAGAAACAAAGCAAGTGAACAAAGGAAAACAAAACAAAAGGCAAACCAAAAAACAGACTCTTAAATACAGAGAACAAGCAGATGGTTAGCAGAGGGGAGGATGAGGGGGGAATGGGTAAAATAGGTGAAAGGCATTAAGAGTACACTTCTCGTGATGAACACTGAATAATACATAAAATTAATGACTCACTACATTTTATACCTGAAACTAATATAACACTCTATGTTACCTACATTGGAATTTTTAAAAAGTAAAAAGAAACTGGTGAAATTTTTTTTTTTTAATGTTTATTTTGAGGGAGAGAAAAACAGATAATAAGCAGGGGAGGGGCAAAAGAGAGGAGATACAGAATCCAAAGCAGGCTCCAGGCTCCAGGCTGTCAGCACAGAGTCTGATGTAGGGCTCTAACTCACGAATCATGAGATCATGACCTGAGGTGAAGTCGGAAGCTTAACTGAGCCACCCAGGCGCTCCTGAAATTTTTTAAAGAGACAAAATCTTTTTAAATTTTTTTGAAGTTTTTATTTAAATTCCATTTAGTTAACATACATTGTAATATTAGTTTCAGGTGTACAATACAGTGATTCAATACTTCCATACACCACTGGTGCTCATCACAAACACTGCACTTAGGTCTTTAATCTATTTTGAATTTATTTTTGTGTATGGCATAAGAAAGTGGTCCAGTTTCGGGGCACCTGGGTGGCTCAGTCGGTTGAGCGTCCGACTTCAGCTCAGGTCATGATCTCACGGTTTGTGAGTTCCAGCCCCGCGTCAGGCTCTGTGTTGACAGCTCAGCCTGGAGCCTGCTTCGGATTCTGTGTCTCCCTCTCTCTGCCCTTCCCCTGCTCATGCTCTGTCTCAAAAATAAACAAAACATTAAAAAATTTAAAAAGTGGTCCAGTTTCATTCCTTTGCATATAGCTCTCCATTTTTCCAGCACCACTTGTTGAAGAGACCATCTTTTTTCCATTGCATGTTCTTTCCTCCTTTGCCAAAGATTAATTGATCACATAACTGTGGGTTCATTTCTGGGTTTTCTATTCTGTTCCATTGATCTATATATCTATTTTTATGCCAGTACCAAACTGTTTTAATCACTAAAACCTTGTAACATAACTTGAAGCCCAGAACTGTCATGCCTTCAGTTTTTTGTTTGTTTGTTTGTTTGTTTGTTTGTTTGTTTGAAGAGGTTGCTTTGGCTATTCAGGCTCTTTCGTGGTTCCATACAAATTTTAGGATTGTTTGTTCTGGCTCTGTGAAAAGTGCTGTTGATATTTTCGTAGGGATTGGATTAAATGTGTAGATTGCTTTGAGTAGTATACATTTGACAGTTGTTCTTCCAATCCATGAGCATGGATTGTCTTTCCATTTCTTTGTGTCATCTTCAGTTTCTTTCATCAGTGTCTTATGGTTTTCATAGCGTAAGTTTTCACCTCTTTGGTTAGGTTTATTCCTAGTTATCTCATGGTTTTGGGTGCAATTATAAATGGGATAGATTCCTTAATTTCTCTTTCTGCGGTTCCATTACTGATGTATAGAAATGCAACAGATTTCTGTACATTGATTTCGTATCCTGTGACTTTACTGAATTCATTTATCAGTTCTGGCAGTTTTTTGGTGGAGTCTTTCAGCTATTCTCTATAGAATATCATGTCATCTGCAAATAGGAAAGTTTTACTACTTTCTTACCGATTTGGATGCCTTTTGTCTTTTTCTGTTGTCCCACTGCTGTGACTAGAACTTCCAGTATGACGTTGAATAAAAGTGGTGAGAGTGGACATCCTTAAGGTGAACAAAATTTTCCAGAGTTTGAGTATACACGCCAATTCCAATCCTGGCAGTGCCAAAGTGAAAGTGGTCGGGAGCACACCACCACCAAGAGCAAGTGGAGTGGTTTCTACACAGAAGATATGGAAGCGAAGGAAGGAAATCATGTGATGGATATGGCCTAAAGACTGCCTTATTCAGGATAGCCTAGCTGGCTGGCCGTGACTGGTTGTTCGTAAGTTTCATTTCCTCACATTCAAGTGCGTGGATTCGGGCTTATGTTAGCTAAGGGCATTAGAGCCACCTCAGTCTAACAGCCTCCTCATTTAATTACTTTCACACAGTCTTTTTAATTTTAGCAATTCTAGGAGTTGTAAAGTGATAGCTCATTGTGGTTTTAATTTGCATTTCCCTAAAGCTCTTCTCTCCCACCCACCCCCTGTATTTAATGGCCAAAGATCTTCTTCATCCAGGATAAGATCTGTGCTTTAAAAACGTTCACAACAAAAAACGTTTACTTTGCAACTGGTAAAACGAGACAGTGATTTGTGTATTAGAAACAAATACAAATCTACAATTTATCTCATGTACTGACTACTGGTAGCTCCCTGAACATACGCTGCTGTTTTCTACCTCCATGTCTTTGCAAATACTAATTTCCTTATCCAGAAGGCCTCTTCTATCCCTCTGTACTCTGGTCTAGTGAATTTCTCATCAGCCTTCAAAACCCTGTTCAGAAATGTATTACTTCCTCCATTAAGTACTTCCTGACTTTCTCAAATATAATTAGGTAACTATTCTATCTTGTAAATGTACATGTATGTATATATAACACACGCAGTGTAACTGCTTCCAGGCAAGAAACAGGTCTTACTCATCTTTACAATAACCCACACACAGGCACATCATTACCTCAAAAATATCAAATGATTATATTCACCATTCTAATGCTGCCTCGCTCTTGATTCACTTTCACATCCATTTTCAGTAACTGAGGCTTCCAGACTGTATTGGGCTTAATGCTGCCCCAAAGGAAGATAAGTCACTTCTTAATCTCTGTAACCTACGAATATTACCTGTATAGTGAAAGATGGGATTAAATTAAGGATTTTTAAAGGGGGAGTTTATCCTGGATTATATGGGTGGGCCCTAAATGCAATCACATGTATCCTTGTAAGAGTGAGGCAGAGGACGCTTTGAGACTACAAAGAAGGAGGGAGTGTGACCAAAAGGGCAGAGATGTCACCCCAGCCAAGGCATGCCTGGAGCCACAAGAAGCTAGAAGGAAAGGATTCTTCCCTAGAGCCTCTGGAGACAGTGCTGTCCTGGATTTCAGTCTTCTGGTCTCTAAGCTGTGAATGAATAAATTTTTGTTGTTTTAAGCCACCCACTATGTGGTAATTTGTTACAAAAGCTACAGGTTAATTAATATACTGGCTTTCTCTTCAGTCTATTATTCATAACAAATTTTACCCAAACACAAAATTTCTATCACAATTTTAAATTCATACCATAATCAAGTTTTTCTGATTTCAATACACATTTCAATTACTTACAGAATATATCAATGTTATATATAAATGAATAATGTTATAATTAAGAAACACTATACAAAGTTTGCCAAATAAAATCACAACACAAATTTTTTAAACATTTTAAAAAATTTTAACGTTTATTCAGTTTTCAGAGACAGAGCATGAGCAGGGGAGGGGTGGAGAGAGAGGGAGACACAGAATCTCAATCTGTCAGCACAGAGCCCAACGGCAGACTTACAGTCACGAACTGTGAGATCATGACCTGGGTCGAAGTCGGCTGCTTAAACAATTGAGCCACACAAGTGCCCCCACAATGCAAATTTTTTAAGCACATGGTTCAAACCAAACTTTTAAAAAAATGTTTATTTTTGAGAGACAGAGAGACAGAACACAAGTGGGGGAGAGGTGGAGAGAGGGGGAGACACAGAATCCAAAGCAGGCTCCAGGCTCTGAGCTGCAGCACAGAGCCCAACGTGAGGCTCAAACTCACCAACTGTGAAATCATGACCTGAGCCCAAGTTGGGACAGTTAACCAACTGAGCCACCCAGGCACCCCCAAAGCAAACTTTTAAAGAAGAAAGGTTTAACAGATTACTTTTGATCAGTCTATTAATCAGGGAGCACTTATTAGATGAACGAGTCTCTGTGAAAGGCAGTTTTTTAAAAACTCAGCACAACTCTTCTCAAAATACCTCATCTTCCTCTCCTTACAACTATGACTATCATAGAACCATACCTTCCTACCACTTCTTTTGACTAGTCCCAGCTCTACAGACATACCTATGACATTCTTTTGCACAGGAGCTGTATTTTTTTTTTAATTTTTTTTTTCAACGTTTATTTATTTTTGGGACAGAGAGAGACAGAGCATGAATGGGGGAGGGGCAGAGAGAGAGGGAGACACAGAATCGGAAACAGGCTCCAGACTCTGAGCCATCAGCCCAGAGCCTGACGCGGGGCTCGAACTCACCGACCGCGAGATCGTGACCTGGCTGAAGTCAGACGCTTAACCGACTGCGCCACCCAGGCGCCCCAGGAGCTGTATTTCTTAAGCAGTGGTACAATGTCTGCTCAAAAGGATGGAAATTCCAAATATTCCAAAAGCACAGCTGCTAATGCTCATGGAAATCTTCCAAACACATTCCCTTAAAAAGCACATGCTATGCCTTTGAACATTTCAAAACAATGCTTTAAATACTACATGCCCCTAGAGTGAATGCTGTTTTTTAGAAACATTAAAATCTAAGGAGAACTACATGAGGCATTACTTCTCTTCTAACAAAACATTAGAAATTAAGGTCTTTAAAACCCAGAGAGACTACCACACTAGTCACCCAAATAGACGACGGATGGCCATCCCAGGGTGTCTTGTATACAAAAAAAGTCACAACTTGACACCCTGCCAAAACCTAAAGTGCAGCTGGGAAGAGACCCTTCAAAACCCTGGTAAGGTGCCAGGCCCCTTAATTGTGATTTAGAATGAAACAGGAGGGCAAGGAAAGAGGAAGGGAAGAAGATATGTATTAGAGTGGTTAGCAATCAACCACCAAGCACTCTGAATTAAAATGTCATTCTATTCTTATAATTGCACTGTCTGCTTCCACACAGCTTAATTCACACAAAAGAATTCTACAAAATAGGATTTAGTAACCAGTCAACCTCAAATACTTAGAAATAAGTTACAAAAGTCTCTGAAAAGTTGTGATCTGAAAACCAAAGATGACTGTTGCCTAAACCATATTTCAAATTCATTTTAATGTTTCTTAGTGTAGCCTCTCTTGCATATAACACGGGACTTGCCAAAAGATTTATGAGCACTTAATACCTTTGTGTGAACTGTAGAGGCTTCTTTGCTCATAGCCCCATATACTGAAATAGATAAAGCTACCACGTAGCTTGTAACACAAAATGAAGGCTATCTACTGATCTGACAATATATCCTGGAAATTATTTTTTAAGTAAATCTGAATTATTTCCATGAGATTTATGCCTTAGTCTGAAAAGTTAAATAAAGGAAAAAAGTTGATTAAGAGTTCAACATTTTTGCTCAGGTTAACATAAACATTCTCTTTTTCATCTTTGAGGATCTACCAAAAAGAAAGTATAAAATTTCTCAGAGCCAGAAAAGGTAAATAAATAAAAGTCATCCTCAAGACAGAGGTTAATTTTAAAACTGTATCTTTATTCATTCATCAGTTGATGGGCATTTAGGCTCTTTCCATAATTTGGCTATTGTTGATGGCGCTGCTATAAACTCGGCATTGAAAAAGAATGAAATCTTGCCATTTGCAACAATGTGGATGGAAGTGGAGGGTATTTTGCTAAGTGAAATAAATCAGTCAGAGAAAGACAGGTATCATATGTTTTCATTCATATGTGGAATTTGAGAAACTTAACGGAAGACCATGGAGGAAGGGAAGGAAAAAAAGTAGCTACAGAGAGGGAGGTAAACCACGAGAGACTCTTAAATACAGAGAACAAACAGGGTTAAATGGGGTGGACAGGTGGGGGGAGTAGGGAAAATGGGTGATGGGCATTGAGGAGGGCACCTGTCAGGATGAGCACCTGGTGTTGTATGTAAGTGATGCATTACAGGAATCTACTCCCAAGACCAAGAGCACACTATATACACTGCATGTTAGCTAATTTGACAATAAATTATATAATAAATAAATAAATAAATAAATCCCTATCTTGCCAAAAACAGGGGGTGGGGGCAATTAATACAACCAGCATTTATTGAGTGGCTACCACACCACATTTACTGAGTGGTCCACTTACACAAAGAGAACTCTGAGGGAGATACAGAAATATGCAGACCATCAGGTCAAGCCAACTTCTTAGCAAGGAAGAGCCTGCCTGTATTAAAAGTATTACAGACACTTTCTAAGTGTCTATTATGTGCTAACACTGTTGGGTACAGGGATACAGTAATAAATAAATTAAAATCCTTGCCCTCAAGGAGTTCGAGTTAGTCCCTGAAACCTACATGTTAACCAACACTTGCTGACTGAACAAGGATAAGAGAAAATTTATTATTTACCAAATCCTTTTTGTACTTAAATTTTTTTGCCATGTGCATATATTACCAATTCCAAGTAATACATGAATTCAGAAAGTTTTAAAAGTATAAAGCAATGTAATATTTATAGGCAGCATGTGTACAAAGGGAAGACAGGCCTACCTCCACTAGAGAGGCTGTCCAGGAAGATTTCACAAAGGGGATGATCCTGAGATAAAACCAAACACTCAGAGAAGAAACATCAAGTATGAAGGCATGGAGATGGAAAACAACTTTGTGGGTAGGGGATAGTGAGGTGGGGAGCAGATGAGCCTAGAGAGGTGGGCCAGGGCCTTGAAGGAAATTTGCAGGAGACTGGAGTTTATCCTGGGATCTAGAAGAGCCAATGAAAAGTTTTAAGCTTGTAGGCAGATGAGGGACAGTCCAGGATAGTTTCAGATTTGTACTTTAGAAAAATAACTAGGTTATCCAAGGTGTGTAAAATAAACTAGGTGGGCAGGGAGATAGTGGGAATCCTAGAGAAAATAAGATCAAAGGGCTGGGAAAGTAATGATAAAGATCTGAACTAAAACTGTGGTAGCAAGTGGTCAACAGGGAATGATCTTGAAAATAAACTTGGAGTTAGAAGTAACAGAAATTAGTAGTTAGATATTGATACTCATCTCCCTCAAAAAAAAAAAATAAAAATAAAAGCTATTTTAATGTTATTAATTAAAAGGCCAACCAGAAAATCAGGGAAGAAAAAAAAATGGAATCCAGTGAAAGTAGAAGAAAGGTTGCTTCAAAGATTACAAGTACTCATCCTCCATGTAAAAAATGAATCAAGCACAGGAACCTTTGCAAAAGCATCTTAGTAAATGCAAATACCATCACAGTACAACACTCAAAATATCTACCTTTCTTCCATAGAGATTTCATCAGCAGAGGGGTAAACACTAACGCTTGCTCTGTCAGGAACAAAGATATAAAATAAGTATTTTTTCTTTAAATGTCCACCTCCTGTAATTCCTCATTCTTTCCCTCAAACAATCATCTCTATAGCAACATACTCTTAAGAAATTCGTGGGTGGAAAGCATATGTTTTTGCAAAAATATGAGAACTCAAGAACACGACTACTCTATTTTTCCCTTTAATATAAGAGATTCACAACATACCCTAAAAGATAACTGCAAAATATGGAACAAAAAAAGACTTAAAAATGTGAGGAAATGTAAAAATCGGTATTGCACATGCTTATATGGAAATTCTTTTTATATGTTACAATGACACCTTGTGGTAACGCTTTTTAAATTATATAACTTACCTTGGAAAACATTTTTACACCAGAAATATAATAAAACTGTTTTAGAATATAGGAAAAGACCAAGACCATATGCTGAGGTAGAATAAACAGATACAATGATCCATTTGGAGAAATAAGGTAATAGAGGCTCTTCAAATATTAAAAATGGAACTACTGTATGATCCACCAATTCCATTCTGGGTATTTATCTGAAGAAAATGAAAACACTAACTTGA